GGGCCAATCAGTGATTTATTTATTGACCAATCAGCAACACATTTGACGTACAGACCATCCCACAGCACTTCCCCTTTTCTTTTCTTAAAAAGGAAGGTTTTAACCTTTACACATCTCCAAAGTCAGCTTGGTATATTTGGGAATTTGGGCGTAGCTTCTCTTACTACTTCCTGCTGGAGGGGGTCGCTGTATCTTCTGGGGAAACAAAGAAAATTTTAGGATCATGGAGTAGTATGGATAGTAGGATCATGGCTGTATCGTCTGAGCCAGTTGCCTTGAAACCATTCTGGATGTTGGATCATTTGGGCCTTGGTGTCACCTTTCAGGGGGTCTTGGCTGGTCAAACCTGATGTATCTTAGTCTGGAACAAATCCATAGCCTCTGGCTTTCTGTGGAAACAAAAGCAGAATCTCCTTTTCAAAGCAATATATCCTTATATCCAAATTTTGAAGTCAAGGTATCTTTAAAATATACATTTTGGCACAACTCAACAGCTTTTACAATCAAATGTTTTTCTGCAGTTAAAAATCCCAAAGACAACACAATCCAGATTCTCTGTGTAATATTCATCTTTACATGGCTTATTTTTTTATATTACCTTTACTGTCTCTTTAAAGACTTTATTTTTAAAAACTATTTATTTCTTTATATAACTGTATATATTTCTTTTTTTTCCTCTTTGAAGCCTACGTACATTTTTACACACATTGTAAACTATTACACCTGAATCTGTCTTATTGTGAATCTATTGCCTTAAACTACAGCAGCTGTGGCTGCTGGCTCCGCCCACCTCAGGTTCCCAACATGGCTACGTTTACCACCAGCTCTGGGAGCTATCGTGGGTCTATGCTTTTATCCAAGCAGCGTGTAGTCCAGAAACCTCTTTTTTTTTTTTTTTTTTTTTTTTTTTTTGTACTAGTAAAGGCTAAATCCACCATGCAGCTTAATGTGCCACTTGCAGAGGCCTCATTCCCGCCATACTGCAGGTCGAGCAAGCATGCTAGGAACCCGCCAGTAGCTCAAACTGGCAGCTGCCGCTCATTTGAGAGAGACAATTAGGAAGCTGTTTTTAGCTCCGTTTTAGAATCTTTTTTTTCAGTTTTTAGGTGGAAACTCTTGCCACCACGTTGGACGCCATTTGTAGCTTGAGTTTTCCTGCCTGGCCCACAGTCAGGACAAATCTTTGTCACCCACAGTCCCACAGCCGATGAGACCCGACCAAGTAAACACAGAGACTTATATTGCTTACAAACTGTATGGCCATGGCAGGCTTCTTGCTAACTGTTCTTACAGCTTAAATTAATCCATTTCTATAAATCTATACCTTGCCACATGGCTCGTGGCTTACCAGCATCTTTACATGCTGTTTCTCATCATGGCGGCTGGCAGCGTCTTTCCGACTCAGCCTTCTACTTTCCAGCTCTATTTTCCTCCTTGTCCCGCCTATACTTCCTGCCTGGTCACGGGCCAATCAGTGATTTATTTATTCACCAATCAGCAACACATTTGACATACAGACCATCCCACAGCAACAGGGTAGCTTTGATTAAAACATATTATAGGTATATATGAAAGTCTTAAACAATAAAAAGGACTAATTACTCCTTCATTGAATGTGTGTAGGAAGGCCAGAGGTCAAAATGGGGTGTTTTCATTAATAACTCACTTTCCACTTTATTTTTTGAGACAGTCTCTTTCTCTTACTGAACCTAGAACTTACTGATTTTTACAAGACCAGCTGACTAGCAAGCTCCAGAGATCTTTGTATCTCTGTTCCCCAGAGCTGTGGTTCCAGGCATGTGCCTCCATGGCCAACAATTATATCTTTTTAACCTGGTGCTGGTGATCTGAATCTGCTACTTATGCATAAGTATCCTTATCATAAGGATTTCAGAGGACTGAGTGTGATAATCCTTAATAATAGCTAACTTAGAAAGACTATGACAATTAATTAATATATGTACTTAGAAATATAAAGTAATTTTATTCCAAAAGAGTACCTTCTAGAAGCACAGTGAACCTGTCTCCTTTCTACTTCCCTGTTATGATGTACTGAGCAGACAGGCATGGGGGGGGAGGCCCGGATGAAAGTTTGTTGTCATGGTCACCACTGATGAATTTCTGTTTCCGAGGACCTCACAAAAGGATGCTGGCAGACTGAAACGATGCTTTAAAATACTCTTCTGAACCATGCTCAAGTGGAAGGCAACACACGCTAGAGTATTTGGGCAGCATGAATTGGCCTTGATGGGGAAGGAAAAAAAGGACACAAAGTTTGCTGGGAAAGGAAGAAGGTGGGTCTTGAAAGAGATGGGGTGGGAGGCTGAATATGATCACAACACATCGTATGAGATTCTCAAAGAGCTAATCAAAACTTTAAAATGACTTTTGTAAGTGTTTTTGAGATTAAAGATGCCTTTGGCTCTAAGATGTATATGTGATTTGCCTTTAATTTTTTAATCATCTTGCTCATGGTTTTCTTCTCTTCCTCACTACTCCCCCCCTACCCCCATCAAGCTTTCTGAAGCTAAACTGTGTGGGGTTTTGTTGTTGTTATTGCTTTGGAAATTGAACTGAGGATAGTGGGATTTATACAGATGCCATTAAAAGTGCACCTGCCAGGGTCTAGTTTGAAGGGATGTGATGTGCAGCCTCTCTGTGGAAATGGCCCTGATACTGTCTGTGCTGTTAGGGTAGGGTGAGACTCTGTGTCACAGGGACCTGTACTCAAATCTAGATTTGCCATTTATTAAAATGGCAAACTATTTAATCTCCATGTGCCCACCCCTTTCCTGCAATAATGTGAGACATGTGGATAATAGCAGTTCCCTCGTTATATTGCTGGAAGATGAAAATAAATGACAACAAAGGTCTGTCTCTAATTCGTTCTTCCTGTTCTGACAGAATGACGCAGAAGACAGAAGCATAGATGGATATTGGGAGATAAATGTGTTTTAACCTCAGGACTTTTTTTTTTCCTGGAAATTTTTCTTGTCATTTAAGATCAGCCTGCAAAGCGCTGGATTTTTCCCTTTACACTGTCATGTCAGTTGTAAAATGTTCAAAGTTATCTCCAGTGATATGGATTTGCCAGTCATCGTAAAAACTGAGAAAAGCAGTATCACTGAGACAATGATTTTGAGATTTTCAAAGAACCAAATTGCCATGAAAGGTGCAGTGAGCGATACAAAGCTGCTGCAGCCGCCGCCAGGTGCATTCCTTTCATGCTACCCAGGCTGATTGAAATATTGATTCTGACTGGTGGATGGGTTTGAATTTCAGGTCTAGATAAAATTACAGAGAGACAGTAATTAAGCAGTGGAAATTGAGTGTCCAGAAGAGCTAATCTCAATATAGGCATTACAGAGATATAATGTGGAATGATTTGTTACTACTGGTTTTGGGGAGGGTGTGGGTACAAGTGTGGACTTGGATATATGCAGGGTGTTTCTACACAGAGTAGGAGTCTGGCTTGCAGGGGCAGCATGGCTGCTTAACTTAGCCTGTCTGCTCAGTATTCAGCCTCACCAAAGATAGTTTAACTGTCGGCACTGAATTTCCTTTGCTTGTAAAATAAGGTTGTTGATAAAAATCTGGCCTCTGAAGGGTTTGGGAAATATAAATGACTCAAGCATGTGAAGTGGTTAGCACACAGAATGGTTCAAACTGTCATTATTATGAAGGGGTAAGCCTAGGCCAATGCCAGAGACTTGGCTTCTAACTCCACCCTCAACAGGCTGGCATTTGGATGCTTATGTAATATGTTTTTCCTTCTGAGCCATATTTCCTTGATAGAAAAAAGTGAGGATCAAGATAGCATGGAAAATAGCTCCCAGTTTCAGGTGTGACCATGCAATGCAAGGCATGCTTTTATGTTTTTTTTTTTTAATGCAGAATTACCTAGAAAAATGTAAATTTAGTCCTGTTAGAAATAAGCTTATCCCTGTGTCTTGTTTGTTTCTTCTTGTCCTTATGTATGAATATGTCTATGTGCCTGTATGTGCACATGTATATGTATATGTGTTCATTTGTATGTGTCTGTGTGTGTGTGTGACATATGTTTCTGACTCATTTCCATGTTACTTTTTGAATCAGGGTCTCTCACTGAGCCTGCATCAGGGTCTCTCACTGAGCCTGTATCAGGGTCTCTCACTGAGCCTGCATCAGGGTCTCTTACTGAGCCTGTATCCGAGTCTCTCACTGAGCCTGCATCAGAGTCTCTCACTGAGCCTGCAGCCTGCAGTTAGGCTGGCTGAGCTACAAGGCCCAGAGATCTACCTGTCTTCCATGTCAAGGATTCCAATTCATGCCAGCTGACCTAGCATTTACATGAGTGCTAGAGATGGAAGTTAGATCGCCATGCTTCTTTACGAGCTTTTATTGACCAAGCCATCTCCCCAACTTTCTAATTTTTAATGATTGCTCTTAGAAATATAGTTCTTTGAACCTTGTAAAACGTGAATGATATGAAAAGAAAAGAATGAACAAACACAAAACATTGTGCTAACTCTGAGCAACAGATCCTCATTAAATATTTAAGTGTTTAAATTAAAAAAAAAGTAGAGCCTTTGATTAAGAGAATGTGCTGATCGTGTTTAACATGGTGTTAATGAATTAGACTGTGGCCCTGTGGTCTGTTCTGACAGAAGGGGACCCAAAGGCACAATTATGAGAGAAAGCATGTGTGTGTGTGTGTGTGTGTGTGTGTGTGTGTGTGTGTGTGTGTGTGTACAGTTATGTCTGTTTGTCTCTCTGTTTACAAAAAATTTCTCCTTAGGATCACTTTTTTTCTGTTTCATATGAAAATGATAAAAACTTAATAATATTGTTTTGTCTATGCATGACCAGCTTTGTCAATTCCAAATCACAAAAGCTTACTGCTTGTTATATGGCTTGTGGATTAATATAAAGAAAATTAGTACAAATCTACACTCTTTTTTCTTCATAGAGAAACTTACAGAATGTATTCTTACCTTATATAATGTGACATTTATTTCCCTGTGCTTGCTTTGGCAGCACATATACTAAAATTGGAACAATACAGAGAAGATTAGTATGATCACAGTGCAAGGATGACATGCAAATTTGTGAAGTGTTCCATAATTTTTTCAAGTGGGGAGAGGAGAGAGGGATGAAGGCAAGAATATAGGGAGAGATTGCTGAAATTAAAGGCCTTTTGAGGTGTAGTATGGAAACCTAGTACAGTAAGAACTCCCTAAAATATATACAAATATGAAGGCAGTCTAACCAAAATCACCAAATGATTGAGGAGACAGAGCCCTATCAAGCCATCTCTTGCCACAAAATTAAGCTTCCAATACCAGGATTGGGTTATATCTAATTCAGTTGTTGGCCAAAGGGCTCCCATGGGAATTCTCAAACAACCTAGCTGTTGTTAAGACTGTGGGTTGCTCTCAGCAAACTGACCACAAGTTTATATTGCTGAAGACAATACCTACGCAACTCATTAAACATTGGCAAGTCAAACAGGTGCTTACATAAAGCCTTTACTTACCTCTATGTTCCATGTCTTTGGTACAGGAAGATACTTTGCATGCTCCCAAAAGAGCAATGTAAACACTAACCCAGCCACAAACTCTTTGATCTAGAATGGTATTCTACCTGCAAGATATGTTAGGGCAACAGTGACATAAAGCCCGTGGGAGCAACCAACCAATGTATGATTTGGCTTAAGGCCCACTTCACAAGATGGAACCCATACCTGACCCTGCTTGGGTGATCAAAAACCTGAGACCAGATAGCCCAGGACCATAGAGTAAAACCAAATACTATTGTTCTAAATAAAGTAACAATAAAATGACTCCTAATGACATTCTACTATACTCAGAGATCAATACCTTGCTCAGATGCAGACGAATTTCTAAATGGTCTTAAATAAAAAGCACAGAGTCAGAAATTTGGGTTAAAGCCTTAGACATCAGGGAAATAGGGAAAGCCACCAGCCAACCTTACCTCACCAACTCTGCAGCTTCTAAATGGTGCAATTTCCTGTCTACCCAGGCTTTATATGCCTTGCTTTTCTGCCCTCTCATTGGCTCTCTTAGCCCAGCTGCCTCACTTCCTCTTCCTACACAGCTGTCACTGTCTGTCTGTACAGACCTCCAGGTCTCTATGGTTGGTACTGGGATTAAAGGCATGTGTCACCATGCTTGGCTCTGTTCTCTAGTATAGCCTTGAACACACAGAGATCCTGACTGCTAAGGAATTAAGGGCATGTGCTGCCTGACCCTGACTCCTTTGCTTACTTAAAATGGCTGGCCTTTCCCCCCTGATCTCCAGGCAAGCTTTATTTATTAACACATAAATAAAATATCATCACATTTCAGCAAAATAAAATATCACCACATTTCCCCCTTTTTTGTCTAATAAAAATAAAAAAGTTATAACTAATATAAGAAAAACTATATACAATAAGTATAATAACTATATACAATATATACAAGCAATAAATGCATCAACAATGTCTTGGCTATTTGCATTTGACAAATTCAGAAAAAATATTCCATTATCTATCCTATTTTGGTGAGTACAAAATGTACCTAATTCACTTTCTATCCTAACTTATATTGCCAGTAGACACCTATCTTACGATGTCTTTCAAACTTATACACTTAACACCTCTTATTGAGTTTCTTTTTTGAATTTCTTAACAAGGAAAACTGTAACTATCTAATCTTCAACTCCCTCAGAGACCTGAGAAGGAAATAATATTATCTAGTAAAACAGAAAGTGCAAACAAGGGACTTCTAAAAAATGAGTTATGTCAGAAACAGCCAGCTGCCTGGATAGTCACCTGAGGTTTCTCTGCATGTTGGGGCATCATCTTTGGCCTACAGGCTTAGTGTATCTGACAGACTCATTTGTGAAGTAGGATGTACACAAGGCCCACAGCTCAACCTCACATTCAGTGCAAGTATTCCATGTACCAGATAAACCTGAATTCTGCCAGTGTCCTGCCATGATTCAGGATTTTAAACTCTGGAAATTGCTGGTGTTTGGGAATTTGGCTGCCCATTCTTCTAGGCTTTTGGGTGGCTTTATCTCCTTTATTAAATACCAGTCTACCATTGAGAGATTATACTCCATCAGCCTAGTTACTCCTTCAAGAATAACTGTTCTGCTACTATTCCACTGCACACCAGAAGCCATCGGCTCACTGCTTGCTTGGCTGCCTTTGAAGGAAGGGACACTGTACCTTTTCTAGATTGCAAAGCCACTTCAGCAATGGTGTCATATTTTCCTGGCCTCAGAGGATGCTTATTGCCAAAGCTGTAACCACACTTGTCTTGACAAGGATCAGTAGTCCTTTGTTTTGTGTCCTGTTTGTCTATTTTGGATAGCATACTGTCAGCAGTCAATGTGAGAGCACTTTGTTGCACAGTAGCTAACTTTTGCTACAATGAAATTTAACTCCATATGCATTTTCTTCAATGCCCATATCTTCTCTGAAGTAGATTGGTGCTGCCAGAAGCAGACATGTCTCATAGTCATAATAAAAAGAAAAAAGTCTGTGTTATTAAAACATTTTAAATACCATATTCTGTAGATCTCTGAAGGATTTGAAGATGACCTGTCTATCTAAAATATAACTCTTCTTGACCTTGAAAACATGCCTAATCTGACTACAAATTCAATTGTAATGTCTAACTACTAACTTTCATTTCTTTATATCTTTATATCCTAATAGTTGGTAATTCAAGGATTAGCAAATTGCACTATATTGTTAAATGAACTGTATAGGTACAAGGTTAGAAATATACATACAGGCGGGACACAGGAAAACTTCAGACTACATTCAGACATCATCAAAGAAGTTTCCTTTTGCAGCAGATGGAAATAAATACAGAGACCCACAGCTAGGCTTTATGCAGAGAATGAGGCCTTGACACGTTCAGCCCTAAATGTCTCCTTCAAATCCCCTCAATGCTCAGAGAACCCCACCGAAGATGAGGTGGAAAGAGTGTAAGAGCTAGAAGGGATGGAGGACACTAAGAAAACAAGGTCCTCTAAATCTACATGAGCAAAGCTCATATGAACTCCCAGAGACTAGGGCAGCATGTACAGGGCCTACATGGATCTGTACCAGTTTAGTTTTTTTATGGGATTCCTGAGTGTGTGAATGAGTGGGTCTCTCTTTCTTTTGCTTTCTTTTCAGTTCTTTTCCTTCTCTTTGTTTGGTTTGTCCAATTCTAATGTGTTAGTTCTGTTTTATTTTATTATTATCCTTAGAAGCCTGTTTGTTTTCTACAGAGAGACAGAAAGTGAGTGGACTCAGATGGGAGGGGAGGTGGGAAGGACCTTAGAGGAGTAGAGGTAGAAGAAATGGTAATCAGAATATAATATGCGAGGAAAAAAACTTACATTCAATAAAATGAAAAAAGAAAGAAAATAGGAGAGAGACATAAAAAATAATGACTGTGAAAAGATACACATCAATAAGTGATATAAAAATCAAAATAGCAGTCATGTATACATTATAATAAAGTAGAAAATTGAGAAAAATATTACTATTAATACTGTAATCTACCCGCCCCCAAACACACACTTAAATCCCAGGCAAATTCTGAGAACAACTGGGTTCAAATCCTAGATTTATCACTTACTCAGTTTGAAATTTGGCTCTTATCACATCTCCCTGCATCAGTTTCCTTGAATATAAAGTAAGGACAGCCATAGGAATTACTCCACAGGGTTATTGTGATGGTAACCAGTAGTAAAGGCAGAGTGCTAAGAAAAATTTCTGGAACAAAGTAAGCACTTAATGAATGCTGTTATTGTTAACACACACGCACACACACACACACACACACACACACACACACAGGAACATGAATACATGTGAACACACACAGCAGCAGCCTTGACTGTATCTATGGTCTGTGTTTTCTCATCAGAGACTGTAAGACTGAGGTCTCATTTAACCACATAACATATAAAATATAATTTTTAGCTTTTCTAGGACAAATGTTTTGTGCATGTTTTGGTTTTTTTTTTGAGATTGTACTTTTTTGGATTATGGAATGATATTTATTATTACATTAAAGAATGTATACTATAGAACATAAAGCATAATGGATATAATAAGTGAAAAAACTATGATTAATATAGTATGGAAAAATGGAAAAAAAGTTGTGTAATAAGGTTTTCTGAACTATGGATAAGTGGGAGGGAGAAGGAAACACTCAGATGGCATGAGTTGGGACCTGAGAATTGCTTACTCTAGGCTCAAGTCCATAATCTAAAAGCAGCACCTTGTATAGTTGGACTTTCTTTTGACTGCAAACTCCCAAATAATGACATGGGAACTTCTTATTAAGTATGAAAGCTTGGCCTTAGCTTAGACTTGTTCCCAACTAGCTCTTATAACTTAAAGCAACCTGTTTATATTAATCTACATTCTTCCACATGACTCGTTGCTTCTTCTCAGTACCATACATCCAACTTGCTCTATGTCTTGTTGGCAAATCCTGCCTCTGTTCTTCCCAGAGTTCCTATCTCTGCCCAGAAGTCCCACCTATCCTCTCCTGCCTAGCCATTGGCCATTCAGCTCTTTATTAAAACAGTCAGAAGGTGCTTTGGCAGAGATATATCATCACATACACAAAAAGATTATCACACAAAAACCTTGGGTGCCTCTTTTCATTAACAATGGCATATTCAATATATTTTTGAGGATTCTCATTTCTGGACAAAACCAGAAGATTCAAACAAATTCTATCATATGCTGTAGGTGGTTTGCAAAAATAGATTTGGGTAGAATAATCAGAAGAGGGAAGGAAAAATAGAAGCCAAAAATAGTTCTCAGGATTGAAGTCTCCAGTTACTGAGAAAATCTTTTATGGGAAGCTATAGGCCAATCCAGATGCTGACTCAGTCACCATCCTCCAGTTGTTGGTTCTGTAGAAAACCATGATGTTAATGGTACTCAATGAGGTTGTTCCATTCCCACTGCTTTATCCTTAGGAGGGATCCTTTCACTGTAACAGCCACTCTTGTCTTTACTGGCATCTTTTTTTCCACTTCAGACTTCACAACATTAGTCAAGGGAACCTGAGGCTCTCTCCATGTCATTACAAAACTTGGTGC